CCCCAAAACCCCAAAACCCCAAAACCCCAAAACCCCTTTAGCTCTCTCGATTGTTGAAATTAATAAATTATATTGCCTGTCTAGATATCAATCCGCACCAAAATTTTCCCAGCTTTTCTTTAGATTTTATAAGACCAAGTCCAAATTTTGGTGCCAAATTAGCAATAATTTTTGCAGAAGCTAAAGTTCATGCAATTGACATCTAATTTAGTAATCTGTTATATGTCTTAAATAAATTATGGCTTAAGGGCTAACTACCTCTCGGGTAAGATTTGCAGGTCTGGGAATAGGTATTATCTCTGTATCTTCCAACAAATCATAAATGTTTTCTTGTTCCCAACATACAGTAGGGCAATGAATCTGTGCACCAAAAAGTTGAATGAAGCCTTGATTGTCCTGAGGAAGAGCTCCACTAGCATTAGGTTTACATCCACATGCGTCAGCAGTGAGCTCGATATCCTCAAAGTTATCTTGAAGTTCTCTATATTCCTCGTCGTTGCAAGTTCCGACATTTCTACAGATTGGTGGATCTGATCTGGGATCATCTGAACTGATGGTACAATTTCAGAAGCATCCTTCATAGATCGGAGGGATAGCACATTCATCTAGATTAGTCCATAGTAACTCACTAGTAGAGTCAATGCTATATTGATAACTTTTGGAACATTGATTCTCGATTCCTCTAGATGTATCAGTAATACAACTTCCGCTTAAGTTTCTTCTGTCTTCCACATAAAAGTATTCATATTGACTAAAGTAATCATAGCTTCCAAATCTATCCCTTCTCTTATAGACTTCGACTGAATGGTCATAGCCTCCATCACTATCATAACAGTTTTCCTCAGTAGTTTGTTGACTAGTCTCATCTTCATCAGTGAATGTTTGAATTCAAGTGTTTGAGTATCCACTAAACGACTCGATAGTCTGGCAAGAGCCTGTACTACCGTCATAAAGCTTGAGATCTTCGTAATCACATTCTTCAGAGTAGGAATATCCGTCATCTCAAGACTCTTGGTAGTCTAAACCAATTATGAATGGATAACTTACATGTCCTATACCCTTCTTCAGTGTCTCATTCTGAGTCATGAGCCCTTCAAGTTGTCCCATACTCTTCATAAGGTGAAGCAGTATAGTCTCAATGTTGGTAGTTAGAAACTGTAAATTCTTCAGTTACAAATTGTCATGAAATCAGCGAGATTATCACTCACAGGAGGTAGATCTTAAGCATTAAATTAAATATTTTTATACTTTAATTCAATTTTCTCAGTTGAAGTAGGGGTTTTGGGGTTTTGGGGTTTTGGGGTTTTGGGG